GTTAAAGGAGCTGATTTTAAAAAGAAGGCATTCCTAAAATATGTGTATGCAGCTGAGAGATAAATATTTTAAAATTTTCATTAAAAATTCTACTTTTTTGGGAGGCTGAGGTGAGAGGATTGCTTGAGCCCAAGAATTAGAGGTTACAGTGACCTATGATCATGCCGCTGCATTCCAACCTGGGCAACAGAGTGAGACCCTGTCTCTAATAAAAAGAAAATTCGACTTTTTCTAAATCCTTGATTTTTATTTCTTAGGTAGAGTAGAAAAGACAGAGGGGTATGTATCCCAACTTAATTTCTTTCAGCTACCAAGGCCACTGAACCTGTATCAACTTAGGACTTGCTTCTCATTGGCTTAGATGTGTATAATTTTAGAAGATTGAGCTCATGAATATATTGCCTATTTTCTTCCTTTTTCTTCATTTATTGTTTACTTGTGAATTTGCAGCCACGGCCACCTATATTGAGGAAGAAGATATTAATAATTACTCCATCCATGATGTGGTAATGCCCTTGCCTGGTTTCGATGTTATCTACCCAAAGCATAAAAGTAAGTACCTTGTAGGGGAAAATAGTTAAAACAAGTTTAACATCATCAAGCCACTGGCATCCAAGAGTGGAGAAAGGAAAAAAAAAATCAATACTTTAAATATAATTTTAAAACTTTATTTTCATCAGACTTAAAAAGATATTTAGATTTTAAACATATATAAATCATCCTGCAGCCAATTAAGCCGACCATGCTCCTTCCCTCATGGGGGCCCGGTGTGCAATGGCTGCAAACAGCAGCCTCCTTGGTAGTGTATGCAGCCTGTTGCTTGTATGGGTTGCTCTAAGGGACCTTGGAGACAGTCCCTTCTGATATATGTTCATGTGTCAGACCTTGTGCTGAAAAAAGAAAGCAGATCTATCCATAGGACCAATGTAATGGAACTGACCCTAGAAGTTTACTCCTACCCAGGACTGGCCTGTGTGTGGTATTTTCCTGTTTAAAATATTTTTTTTCTCAAGAATCCAGAATTATTTTACTTGTCAGTGTTATAGTCCTTGAAATTTTATGAATTAGAGAATGATTAGGATTAATGCCCTTCTTGGATAATGCAAATATTTCTAGAAGGGTTCAATAGTAAATCTGTCATTTATACATTGATTAATTGAACCAAATTGCTACACTTATATATGTTTGACTTCATTGAGGGGAAAGGAGTTGAGGGAAGGAGAGGAGAATTTAAGGTAGATAAGGGAGGGCTGTGATCTGCCTACCCTGGGTAGAAACCAAGGAGAGCAGTACTGGGAATAAGTGAGAAGGAAGGCACTAAGATGCGAAAAGCCACATTTCCTCTCTGTTTCAGTCAGGGTTCCCCAGAGAGACAGAACCAATAATATATAGAGATAAAAAGGGATTTATTAGGGGAATTGGCTCACTTGATTGTGGAGGCTGAGAAGTCCCACGACAGCCTGTCTGCAAGCTGGGGAACCAGGAAAGTTGGTAGCTTGGCTGAGTCCTCGTCCGAAGGCCTCAGAACCAGGGAAGCCAATGGTGTAACTCTCAGTCTGAGGCTGAAGGCCTGAGAACCTGGAGGGAGGGGTGCTGCTGGCACAAGTCCCAGAGTCTGTAGGCCAGAGAACCTGCAGTTCTGACATCCAAGGGCAGAGGAAGGGCATCCCTGCTGTGAGAGAGAGGGAAAGAATTTGCCCTTCTCCTTTTTGTTCCATCCAGGCCCCCAGCCTATTAGCTGGTGCCTGCCCACATTGAGGATAGAGGTTTCCCCTTCAGTCCACCAACTCACATTCCAGTCTCCTCGGAAACACCCTCACGGACACACCTGATGCAGTACGTTCATTCTCATCTAATGCCAGACCACCTGGGCTTCCCTTTCAACAGAAGAGGGATGCTTGAGAATAAATAATGTTTTACCCACTATCTGAGTAGTTAAGCCAGTTAAGTTGACACCCAAAATCAACCATCACAAGAAAGAAAAAATATTCTTTTCCTCTTCTTTCTTACACCTCTGAGGATTAAGAACTTGGCTAGTATCAATTAGAACCTAAATCGACAGAAGTGTTGATGAAAACCTTGTAGTCAAATATAAGGACTTGTAAACTGGATGGGTGATATTTCAGGTTGGATAGGAAACATAGTATCCAAAACACTTAGTATCCAATAACGCTTGATTTAGGGATCCCTGTTGTCCTCAGTGTGTAGTGAAGGAGTCTTTCTTTGACCCTGTTCTGCCACACATTTTTATGAATAATTTGAATAAGGAAATCTACTTATATTTGCAAATAATGTAAAACAAAATAATTATATGAGAAAAGTATTTTTAAGAAAAACTGCGGAAGGCATTTAATAGAGTTAAACGCAAATTCTCACATTTATGCCCAGTGATCAGATGGACAGACAGAGGAGAGCCAGTTTGATAGTAGTCTATATAAAAAGTTAAAAAGTATCTGCAGTTATTGTTGAACATAAACCTATTAGCCTGAGGCAGATAAACAGTTTGATGGAGAATTCAGAAATGTCAAAGAGGGGTAATCAAGGGAACCATTTTTTGGTCTACAGACTGTATGGCTGAAAGGTCTGATACTTAGGAATAGATGTCAAAGAGGACAGTTAAACTGCTGTGTTCCAAAGCAATCAACAAGAAAGTTACAAGAAAATGGATTTCAGCTTGGAATAGGAAGAATTTTCTAATAATTGCATACCTCACAAAGCAGTACTTCCTCCTTAATGACAGCATGCAAGCAAAGGCTGGAAAACTATCTTCCTTGAGTGTTATAAAAAAGATTCTACATCAGGTGCGAGGGTGAGCCAGATGGTTTTTCAAGGTCTCTTATTTTTATACATTTATATATAACTATCTCTTCCATAGAGAGTTTGAAGCCTCTGTGTATGATGTCTTCCAACTCTGAGCACATATAAATTGTAGTTTAGCAACTTTGGATAAAATGACCTTTTATAGCCTGAGAACCCTACACCATTGGTACTGTGGCTGGTTGCAAAGATAATTTACAAATTGGCCAAACCAAAGCTGGAGGCACCCTCTAATCCTAGTTACTAAGTCACTCAGTTTTGATTCCAAAGAATAGACTTTGGATTATAAATTAGAGTGACCTAAACTGAATTTACATGTTACTCTATTTGTGGTCTGCTTTAGGGTAACTTGTTGATAGGCTGCATTCCAACTAACTCTTTGTATTTTATATTAGTTAGAGATGCCTACAGGGAAATGCTCACAGCAGACAATCTTGATATTGACAACATGAGACACAAAATTCGAGATTATTCCCTTTCAGGGGCCTACCGAAAGATCATTATCCGTCCTCAGAACGTTAGCTGGTGAGTAACAGTCTGGAATGAAGTAGAACTGAATTACCATATAAGGTTTTTTTTTTTTAATTATCAAATATTCATTTTAAATAAAAGTTTTATACCATACGTATTTACAAAAATGGCTTGCTATAGAAAAATAGAATCCAGTTACTGTGTTTGCACCATCACAGTGGGAACCTCCATGGAATCTCCGTCTCTTCCCACGCTGGGAGCATGCAGGGTGGCTCCATTCCCACACGGGTGTGTCTGTGCACAGCTCCTATGTGTGGCTGTCCAGCTGTCTGATGGCCTACCATATAAGGTTTTAAGCTTTTGCTTCACATAAACAGTCATGTACCATATAACGAAGTTTTGGTCAATAGTGGACAATGTGTATGATAGTAGTCGTGTAAGATTATGCCATAATTTTGCTGTGCCTTTTCTATCTATGTTTAGATACACAAATACTTACCATTGTGTTACAATTGCCTGCAATATTCAGTACAGTAACATGGTGTACAGGTTTGTGGCCCAGATGCAATAGGTTGTACCATATAGCCTACGTGTGTGGTAAACTGCATCATCTAGTTTTGTGTAAGCACACTCTATGATGTTTGCACAATGACAAAATTGCCTAATGACGTGTTTCTCAGAACGTATGCCCCATTGTTAAAGGATACATGACTGTATTTTTCAGTGCTCAGAATCCAGCATATAAGTATTTCATAAGTGTTATTATTACTATTATTATCACTACAGTTACCAGTTGACATTTTTCAAATCATCAAGAAATTAATGAAGTTGTTTTGAATGTAAACATATAGTGCAAGTGACCTTATTTACATTTTGTTAGCATCACTAAATTATTGAAGAAATATATAGAGAATGAACTTTTTCCCTAGTTCTGGAAACCTGAGATTTTCTTAGAGTGCTATCCCTGAGCAAGTTACCTTACTCAGTATTAGCGTGAGTTCCAAACACTAATCTAGTTGTTTTAATGTCATGTTTCTCTAGAGAAAAAGATATCTGTACTAATTCATTTAAAAATATTTTAATGCCCAGTATTATCTAAAGCTTTATTTGTTAATTTAAAAATTAAATCCTGAACCTGTTGGCCACTGGCAGGAAATTCTTTCTTTCGCTCTCTCCTTCTCTTCTTTTCCCTCTCTCTCTCCTCTCTTCTCTGGATTGTGGGCAGGAGGTCTGCACAGTTGGACTTTATCTTTCTCGCTCCAGAGAGCAATTCCTCATTAGTAACAAGGTGGTGTTGGTAGTAATAACCACTGTGGAGAAAATGTAAATGCCGTGATTAATTTGATCACAGCTGTGCAAACTGAAGTTTACTGCCTACCAATTTCGTATAAAAAGAATTTCTATCTGGGAAACATTTTATGTCTTTTACATAGGCTGGCATCATCTGTCATCTTGCTATATAATAATATAAAGGCAAAACTTACATATAAAATCTGGCCCTGTTCTGTTTTTGAAGAGTCTGACCTATTATTTACAATAGATCTATTTGGGGTTTTTTTTGGGGGGGGTTGTTTTTTTGAAACAGAGTCTCCCTCTGTTACCCCCGCTAGAGTGCAGTGGCATCGTCATAGCTCACTGCAACCTCAAATGCCTGTGCTTAAGCCAT